AGGAAAAAATGCACACTCTAGTAAGTGACTGCTCTGGACAGAATACAGTCTAGCAAGCAACATGTGGTGGCTACAATTCTTTGCACAGGCCTGGGAGCCCACAAATGGCCATCGTATCCTTGAATTTTACCTCAAGGCATTGATCAAGCAGCTATGACACATACACTTACTGGGACAGCCACACCACCTCTGGCTCAGGAAGTTCTGGAGTCTCAAAACATTGGGACCCAGAGAACGTAGGAAATTAAGAGAGAAAATCAATCAATCAATCAATCACTCTCTCCTTGCCCTGTTCTCAGATTCTTCGCAAGGCACCTACTGCTGACCACCATCTGTGCGGGTAAATAGATCTGGTTGTAAAAGAAAAGATTACCATCTTAGCTCAGTGGATGAAAGTTCCATTTTCTTTTGGTTTCTACAAGTTATTAATAAGGATACAAGAGCTTTTTCTTCTTTCCACCCCCTTTCCCCTCAAGTCACCATACAAATTCCTGTCTCCCCTTCAAAAATTCTATGGATTCCATTGCCTCGGCACAACCGCGTCCTGCCATCTGGGACGAGGGAGATAAGAAAGACACCTACCATTTCATAACGGCCTCAGAGAAATACAGATGCAATTAGTTACTCAAGTTCTCAATATTGTTCCTCCTGCCCTAAACTCCACTAACAGCCCAAAGGATAAACGAGACAAGAGAAAGCAGACTGGAATAACAGGCATTAGCACCTATGCAGTCAAACGCACTGGTAAGATCCTTACTGACTTCAGCAGCGCACCTTCATATCACCAGCACTAAGATGGCTTAGGGATTTTCAAAGCTGGAAGAGACAGTACTGCAGCAGGGTCGAATGCACAGCTCTGGCTGGAGGAGGGCAAACTCAGAGGAAGCTCATGAAATGAAAGCAGTAGGTCAGAGGGTAAGTTTACGATGAAGAGCCCAGAAGAGGAACATGCTTAAGGACTGATATGCATTGTTCAGCTCTACTTGGAGAAAGGATCCTTCTGGACACTCTCTGCAGCTTGCAGTGTACTGTTACCATCAAACATTAAAATGAGAATAAATCTCTAAGGAAAAAAAAAGGTGATTTCTTTAATTTGAAGATACAGAAGGCTTATATTTAAAACAGCAGGGCAAAGGCCTTTCTGAAGCAGACTCATGTCAGTTCACCTAAAGAGCACAACGCAGCGGCACGTTACCAGCACCCACCCGAAGGCAGCTTGTGGGCTTATCAGCCCCAAGCACCAGCTCAACCCAAAGCACCCCACACCCCAACAGCACCGGGTCACCAGCACACGGCAAGATACAGAAGGCTTATATTTAAAACAGCAGGGCAAAGGCCTTTCTGAAGCAGACTCATGTCAGTTCACCTAAAGAGCACAACGCAGCGGCACGTTACCAGCACCCACCCGAAGGCAGCTTGTGGGCTTATCAGCCCCAAGCACCAGCTCAACCCAAAGCACCCCACACCCCAACAGCACCGGGTCACCAGCACACGGCACACACTGATAACCTTCACATCTGCGCAGCTTCCAGATGGGAAGCTCCGGGAAAAAGCCGCCCAGCTGACACGAAGTCACTGGGGAGCGGGGGGGAGCGAAGGGGATCCACGCGCCTGCCCGCACCCCACCTGCTTTTGCATAGCCGATGAGCCCTCCCGATGCCACCAGGGCGGCGTAGCCAAAGCCCAGCCAGTCCACCGCCATGCTGAGAACTGCAAGAGAAACCGGGGTGAGGGTCAGCGTCTCTCTGAAATTTTTAGGGGGGGAAAAAAGAACACCAGCGCTTTGCCGCGGGAGGCTTTTCCAGGAGCAGGACCCGCCCAAAGCCCGCGCCCCAAGCGCCGTGCCGGAGACCTGCTGGGGGCGAGGGCGCAGCTCCG